GCTAGCTTTCTTCACTGTCATGAGGTAGCAGGACCCAGTTCATAAAATGGAGCCACCTGAGTTCAGAGTGGTCTTCCCATTTCAATTAACAATTAGAACAGGTTTCCACAGGCTTGCCCACAGGTCACCCTGATAACTCCTCAATTGAAACTCTTCCAGTGCTAGGATACATTGGCACATGGCTTTAGTTCCTGCTCTCAGGAGGCAGGGGTAGGTGCATGTATCTCTCTGACTTTGAGGCCATCCTGGTCTACATAGCAAATTCCAGGCCAGTGAGGGCTACACAGTGAGACCTTGTTTAAAAATGAAAAAAAAAACAAAAAACAAAACAACAAAAAAAAAACCCAAAAAAAAACAAAAGGAGAAACTCTCTTCTTAAGTGGTTTTAGATTCTGTCAATTTACAGCTAAAATTAACCAGCACACTTCTTAGAGGAGTCAGATCCCACCAGAACAAAAGAAAAAAAACACAACAAAAAATAACCTCAGTTCAAGATAGCTCTTCCTTCCTATGAGATTCATACCAGAAAGCTGGGACATTTACCACAGTTGCCTGGAAGTTTAATGTGCCATCCCAGGAGTAGGCACAAATCACATACAAGCTTGTTTGGATGGAGGCAGATTGTCCTTCAGCCTCCAGGAAACAGTGGTGAGACTTATTGAGTAGCTAGCCATTTCTACACAATGGCTTCTGAACACGAGTTCTGCATCTCACATCACACTGGCAGACAGACAGACAGACTGATGGACTTCTGGCCTGTTTTGAACAGGTCAGAAGTTAAACATTCTTGAGGATATCATCAGAGTCCAGTACAACTGTCCCAAATCCCTTGTCTCTGGAGAGTCCCTGCTGGAGGCCTGCCCGGCTCAGTTCCTCCAAGTTCCCCAGAGAGGCCTGCAGTTGCCTTCCCCGTCCCTGCTGCAGGACGACATCTGGCCACCCTCACTCCTCTGTTGTGCTTCCTGGGATCAGCTCCCAGACACAGAACACCTGGCCCTGGCATGGCAATGGCACCTGAGGAAGCAGCCACCACCTCCTGATGGAGGGGAACCAGGAAGCTTAGGGGTTTAGAGGAGTACAGGGTGTCCAGAGGGCAGCCAAGAGGGGAGTGTGGCCTCTCCCTCCCTCTTACTTGGGGCCTCTCAGGCAGAAAGTTGAGTCTGGGTCTCAGCTGCAGCCATGAGCCACCCCTGGAAGAGTATTAAGCATCCTTCTTGACTCTGCATCTGTAGAGTACAGGGGAAGGCTGGGTGAAACCTTAGGCCAAGGCTTCAAAAATGATGGCACTGTGCCTCTTCCCATTATTTTTAAGCCTTGGCCTATAGAACCCGAGATATCTGCTCACCTGTCACTATTGTACCTGGAAAATACAAGTTTTCACATGACCCAGAGAGTCTCGGATCCCTCAGCAGAGCAGAGCCTTCCCTTAGTGTGTCATCTGTAGTAGGATAGCAGAACTGTGGTTTATTTCTTGTTTCTGTAAACACGCTCCTAGTCCCCTTCCAAGAGTTTGCACAGGGTATCTTGGGCCTCCCCAAAGCCTGTCTGATAAAAGTGGGCAGAATGGGCACAAGTAACAGGTGTTGGTGTTTCTAGTGACCAACTTCTGCTATGAATTCCAGGTGCCAGTAACCTCTCACACACATACTGGTATTCAAGAGTAATGGAAAGGGGGCTGGGGAAATGCTCAGTGGCTAAGAGCACTGGCCGCTCTTGTGGAGGACCAGGGATCAGTTCTCAGCACTCACATCAGGCAGCTCATGATCGCCTACAACTCCAGCCCCAAGGTATCTGTGGCCCTGGTCATCACAGGCACCCACACTCGTATACACAAGTCTGCACACATATCCACATGATTTAAAAAATATTTTAAAAGAGTATTGGAAAGCCTCCCACAAATATTTGGATTGTATACTAGACACAAATCCACATTTGCACCTTGTAACCTAGGTAACATTTGCAGAGTGTATGATTTTAATGTTGTCCAGAAGGTACTAAAAACATATGAATGGTAATATGTGAGGTCATCTTATGAAAATATGAATGATTACTATACTTAGTAATTTAGTATATTATTAATTTAGTTAGTATTATTATATATAGTTAATATATAGTACATATCAGAGATTCAGTCAGTTTGATCATAGTATCTTTCTCTGACGAGAGTGACCAGAATCATGGGATACTGAGAAGCACTAACTTCCATTTCTCCCTCAGCCTTAATGAAAAGTTCAAAGGAAGTGGACCTTTAAAATAAATGTATCTGGACCAGGAGAGATGGCTGTGTGTAAGAGCACTGGCTCCTCTTCCAGTGGACCTAATTCAATTCCCAGCAACCACATGGTGGCTCACAACCATCTGTAACTCCAGTTCCGGGGGATTTGGTCCCCTCTTCTGGATTCCTCAAGTATTGCAAGCACATAATGCACATGTACATGTAGACAATCATACAAATAAAATTAAAACCAGAGGTAAAAAAAAAAAAAACACTGCATTTATTATTTTTAAATTATATGTACCTGCGTGTAGATTTGCACATGCGTGCATGCCTGTAGGCACCTGCTCAGGCCAGAGATATCAGATCCCCTAGAGATGAAGATACACGTGTTTATGAGTTGCCTAATGTGGGTGCTGGGAATAGAATCCAGGTCATCTGCAAAGTCAGTATGTGCTCATAACCACTGAGCCATCCTTCTAGCTTCAAATAAACCTTTAAGGAAAAACCAGAAAGATAAATATCGAGGTATGGAACTGGATGAGAAACCCCACCAGAAATTTCAGATAGACAGACATGGTACGGTTTACACTGGATTCCATGTGTGGTGTCCACTCCTTCACTTGTACGCACTCGACAAACACATCCCCCATTATAACACTGAAAAGCACAGCGATCCCCCTGGGTCCCAGTGATCCTGGGGACAGGGAAAATGAGGAAGTAAGCAAGTTTGTATTTTAAAGTATTTATGAGCCTAGTATGTGAACTAAGAAATACATGGAAGCAAGAACAAACTCTAAGGAAATCCCATGTAAGTTGCACTGCTCTCATGCACAGACAGGAATCCACATTAAACACGTCCACCATCACGAAGCTGGCTGTCTAACTCCCTACATCGTTCACACTGTTGTATAAAAGTTGTCCTTGCAGGAAATTCAAGATACCCTCATGTCAAAACCACACACAAAAAAAATCATCACAAATTTTTCTGTTTTGGAATGTTGATGGATATGATTTATTATATACAATATAAGATGTCTGTGCCTTCGTATTATATACATAGTTCTGATCTGTGCATTTGTGAAATCGGAGACATGGAGTATGATGGAGTTTTATTGCCCAAGAGTTTGTAGATGTTTTGAATGATGGGTAAGCTGTTTGTTTTAAATTAAGGTGTTATGGGCGAATGGTCCCATGTGTGACAAACGTGGCATAGGTAAGTCATAACCCTTCTGGTAGTAAGCATGGAAGAAGTACCTGCTGCTCATGCTCTGCCCCAGGGTGAGCAATCCCCTCATGAGTGCTGCTACAGAGGACTCCTACACCGCTACTCTCCTTGGGTCTGGAGGCTCCTCGTGCTGAGGAATCCAGGCTGAGCGTAGACAGCAAATGACACAGTGAGGAGTTTGCAGTTAGAACATTCTCTGCGCATCGTTTTCCTCTGACTCAGACCAAACACCTTCTTATACCCTGGCAGTTGTGACCAAGGCCAAAAATGAAGGAAAGAAAGCTCTTCTTGAAACCATTAGTGAAACCCTGTTACAAGAACAGTCATGTCAGGCACAGACGTGTGACCCATCACTTCTGTTCACTTTCTAGCCTGGCTCAGGCCAGTCCCCAGTGCAGGGTGTGTGTCTAATCTAGGCCACTGCTCCAAGACAAAGGGCCTCAGAGCACTGGAGAATTTTTACCTAAAAAAAACTCTTGGTCTGGGTGTGGTAATACATACTTTTCCAGCATTCAGGGGACAGAGGTAGAGGCAGGGAGATCTCTGTGAGTTTGAGATCAGCCTGGTCTACACAGTGGGTTCCAGGACAGCCAAGGCTATGTAGTATGACCCTGGGTCAAACATAAATAAATGAACAGATAGTTAAAAACTCATGAGGATGAAGTTGTCACACTTCCAGCCAACTGAAGAAACATACCAACTCTGCAATGGCACCATCACCTGGCTGGCTCTGAGAGCCCACTTCCTGGATGAGGATTCTTCAGCAAATGGCCCCTGTATGACTGTAAAAGGAACCCCGTGATCCTCACTGCTGGGACCTGAAGTGTGAGTGTTTTTGCTCCCTCAGGATTTTACTGAGAACCACATGCTAAGAGTTGTCCACAGCCCTGTGGGTTTTGATGGCTCTATTTTCAGCTTATGAGAGAATCAGCATAGACAGGTTCTGGAAAGGTGACTGGCTCTTCTTTCTCTCCTTGGTTCTTTTGATAGTGTTCTCAAAGTTCCCTTGGGATACCTCTGGAGGTGAGAGTGTGCACAAGGTTTTCTGTGACCATGTAAACACTGTGTCTTTACTAGACTGTCTTGACTTACCAGTTACACTGCCAACTTGATAGTGGCATCACTTGACCCTTGTCTGGCTATCTGGTCAGGTTCATATACCAACAAAACAGTACCATAAAATGGCCAGCACTCCTATTTACTAAACGTGTCTGAAGGACAGGCCCTTATAGTGACCAACTGTGAAACTGCATTTAAAAAATCAATAGCTCATGGCTGTTGTTAACCTCAAATTTTACTACTGAGGGAATAAACACTAAGGCCAGAAACATTTAAAGAAATTACATCAATAAAAACCCATAGTAAATAAATAATTTTTACAAATTCTGTGAAATTGATAGGGTTTTCTATTGTTCATGAACAGTTGTTTCAAAATGGAAGGAAATATTTTTGTTTTCCAGTTGAAGGATGAGTCGATTTTAACTGGAAACTGTCCTTTTCTACAGAGAGAAAGAAAGACAGAGACAGAGACAGAGAGACAGACAGACAGATGGGGACTTTGTGTTTACAATGAACAAATGGTAAAGACAGGAATCACTATCATCACAAATGGGACGGTGCTTTGACATGTTTGGGGACAGAATTTTGTGATCAAATATTAGGAAGGACCCAGTATTGGGACATACACTCCAGGAACACAGAGCAGAACTCTGAAATTAGGGCTGTTCTGGGAAGTTTGCCCTTATGGTCTGCTGCTTTTCAAACAGCCTCCCCTGTGCATTTTGTTGTTGCTATATATGATGTTAGGTAGTTCAGGCTGGTTTTGAACCTACTATGTAGCCCAGGCTGGCTCCAGATTTGAGCTCCTCCTGCCTTAGTTTCCTTGGTGCTAGGGTTACAGGTGTCTGTGATTCCTACTGACTTCCAGTTTTGTTCTTTCTGCCTCAGCTCTCACTTCCTCCCTCCTGTCTGTCCTGATCAAACTTCTCATGTCCCCGTGGAGTGGAGTTGGAGGAGAAATGGGCACTTTGTGGGCCAGGTCCGTGGCTGCTGGTACTGAGTGAGGAAGCGTGCCCAGATTGGGGACATAAGCCACCAGAGACTTCAGGTGAAGACAAACTTCCAACACACAGGCACAGAACTGAAGTGAGCTGAGCTCTGATGTGACCCTGGTGCCCTTGGCAGATGGATCTTGTCCTCAGGACAGCTGGGCAGACTGCAAAGGTTCATGGGACAGGATAATCCACCGAGCTACGGGAGGAAGGCATGCCCACGTGGCCTCTCATTGTTGCTTGGAGAAGAAGACCTTGAAAGCACTGCTGTAGCTCCTATTGAATGCAGTGTAGATGAGTGGGTTGAAGAAGGAGTTGGAATAGCCCAACCACAGGAAGACGCTCTTCCAGATGGCAGGGATGTCCCAGGAGCACAGGGGACCGACAAGCTCCGTGACAAAGAAAGGGAACCAGCAGAGGACAAACACCCCAATGAGGATGCCCACCATGAGGGCCGCCCTTTGCTCCTTCTGCTCCCGCCACGTATCCCCGTCTGTCTGGAAGGTGATGGTGGCATGGCGGACCGTGAACACCATCTGGGGATGTTGCGTAGCATCCTTCACCTGCAAGGTACCAAGAGACATGTTGTAAGGAAATGCCACTTCACACTTGCCAGGTACGGATGGGCCTGGGCCCCACAAGCCATTCCAAAGGAAGTACTGGGGCTTAGTTGGGGAATCTGGCAAACTAGAGGGCATAGCAGTGAATGACAAGGCTGGACTCTGCATCTTAGAAAGGAGAGGAAGCTACAGCACACAGAGTTCAATGCAAGTGAGTCCCTGTGGCTATCTGCTTGACTAAAGGCACAGCAAAAATAAATAGACCATGGGGGTGTCATGGTTAGCCGTAACTCTCAACTTGATGTAGGGCAGAATCATCTGAGAGGAAAGCCTTAACAGAGGAACTGCCTAGATCAGATTGGCCTGTGTGTGTGTGTGTGTGTGTGTGTGTGTGCACGCGTGCATGTGAGAGAGAGTGGCGGGGGAGAAAGAGAGAGAACTCATCCAGCCCACTATGGGCAATCATCACTAGGCAAGTCATTCTGAATTGTATAAGAAAACTAGTTGTATTTAAGCCAGTGGTTCCTTAACCTGTGGGTAGTGATCCCATTGGCAAACTTCTATCTCCAAAAATATTTACATTATAATTTATAACAGTAGCAAAATTACAGTTATGAAGTAGCAATGAAAATAATTTCATGGCTGGGGGTCGCCACAACATGAAGAACTGTATTAAAGGGTCACCTCATTAGGAAGGCTGAAAACCACTGGTTTGAACCATCTTATGAGCCCGCTAGCAAGAAGCAGCCTCCATGTTTCCTGCTGTACTTCTGTGGCTGTGAAGTGAGCTCCTCAGAGGAAACACTGTGTTGAATACCAAGGAGGCCTGCCCTGACTTCCTTCAGTGATGGACTATGGTCTGGCATTCCAGGCTAAAATAAACAATCTCTTCTTCTAACTTGCTCTTGGCCAGAGTGTTTTATCACAGTGAAAAAAACAAAACCAGAACATGAGGGCATGTGCATTTGATGGCAAAGGCACAGGAGACAGGCTTGCCCATGACGGTGAATTACTGATGGCCAGTCAGGGGATCTACAGTCACCCAGGAGGTGAACTTCTGAGCCTGTCTATGAGGCAGTTTCTAGGTTGGGGAGACACACCCCCAGTGTTCATGACATCATCCATAGGCTGGGCTCCCACACTGAAGAAAAGGGGAGAGTGTGCCCAGTCCTGTGTCTTTGTGTTCCCCAAATGCACATACGGGGTGACCCTCAGGCTCCTGCCACTGGGCTTTTCCTGCATCATCCCCAAACCACAAGACAAAGTAAATCCTTTCTCCCTTAAGTTGCTCCCATCGGGCATTTTATCACAGCAATAAGGGAAATAATTAATAATATCCTAACGAGCTCATTATGAACAGAATTGTGAAGATTGAAAATTCACTCACCATCTCTCTCACACCAGGTACTCAAACTCAGCCAGCTACATGATACCCTGTGGGAGTTAGTGAGTTTCTTTTGCCATCTAGGGGCTAACTGGCTGTGGCTTGCTGTTGCCACCCAGCATCAGAGTGGACCTACTACATATCAGTAGCCTAAAGAGGGAAATCAAAGCCGGGCGGTGGTGGCGCACGCCTTTAATCCCAGCACTCGGGAGGCAGAGGCAGGCAGATTTCTCAGTTCGAGGTCAGCCTGGTCTACAGAGTGAGTTCCAGGACAGCCAGGGCTACACAGAGAAACCCTGTCTCGAAAAACAAAATTAAAAAAAAAAAACAAAAACAAACAAAAAAAAGAGGAAAATCAAAACTCAAAAGTGAAGCAGGGCTGCCAAATGAACGGTCTCTGCACTCCATCATTAATCAAACTCTAGGAAGTCAGGGGTATACTTAGGGCCAGATTTCTAGAATGTACATGCGAGTCTGCTCTAAACCATTGGAATATTCTAGAACTTTTCTTCTGATATGAGATTCCCAAAGGGCAGGCGAAGGTGGCTCAGTGGGTGAAGGTGCTTGCCACCAAGTCTGATGACTTGAGTTCAATCCCCAGAGACTACATGATAAAAGGGGAGAACCAACTCCCCTAGGACTCCCGGGAATTCTCTGACTCTTCCTCCCTCAGAAAGTCTGCACCATGCTTGGCATTAAACTGGACACTGCTGATGGCAGTAGGGATTCTGGCAACATGCAGGTACTATCAACACTGTGACTACTGAGGACATGGGGGTGCTGCGATACTGTGGGGACACCGGGACATGGTTTTGTATCAGCAGTTCTTCAGAGTTTAGTAAGAGAGGTCCATAGTTCACAGAAAAGCATTTCCCCCATTGTCCCGTTTTTCCTCTGTTGCTATGATTTAAAAATAAATAAATAAATAAAAATAAAAAATAAAAAAAATAAAAACCATGACCAAAAGCAACTTGGGGAGGAAAGGGTTTATTTCAACTTACACTTCACTTCCAGGTCAGTCTTCGTCGATGAGGGAATCGGGACAGGAACCTAAGCAGGAGCTGAAGCAGAAACTTCAGAGAACGCTGATCGCTGACCCACAAGCTCATGCTCGGCTGCTCTCACACAGCGCATGCTCAGCTGCTCTCACACAGCGCATGCTCAGCTGCCTAGGGATTGTGCTACGGAAAGTGGACTGGGCCCTTCCGCCTCATTCATCAGTCCAGACAGTCTCTCACACAGACCAAACTGACCTGAGCAGTTTCTCAATTGAGGTTGCCTCTTCCCACAAAGCACGCCAGGTTGGATCAAGTAACACGCTTCCATATGAAACTTGGGTCCTTTCCCCAGGCCATGTTCCCGGTGCTGTGTTCAACACCAAACCCCCTGTAAGAGGTCCCTGTCCTTGGGCAGGTAGGAGATCCTGGCTGCTTGAAAAGTTTCCGCTTTCTCTTGTTTTCAGGTCCGGCTTCCAGACCTTGGCACTGCTAATCAATGGCTACAATGAAAAACTTAACGGGGTCTATAGAGTAACCTTATACCGATTACTGTAAGAGTTTAAGGTCTTAGAGAGGCTAACAGGGTGTGAGCAGGCAGACCAAGCTAGATCTTCTCCATTACCTCCGACATACATTCAGAATAGGTACCTCACAATTTCAGACTCACTGAAACTTTCCAGCTTTCTCCGCCTTTTCTCTTTCAATCACTGTTATTCGGGGAACAGGCGCCACTTGCTAAAGCTGTTGTTATTTTTTTTTCCAAAATGTTGATATGCTAAATAATTATTTAAAGTTTTACTACAAATCTACCATGTTCTTACTCCTGCCAATTAATACTCCACTGCTTTGTGGTGCTGAAGTTTGAGGACAGAGACTCTCAGCTCCAAAGTATGGGTTCAGCTGATTTGTAAGACAGGTCACCTGGACCTGCCAGAACACTCAAGAGACAGATATACAGATTAGAAGGCTCAGCGTGGGTGGTGGTGATAAAATGTTCTGACTCAGGGGCAGAATGATTGTTCTGTAGCTATGGTAACAAGGAGGCTTGCTGGTTGTGTAAACCTCTTCCACTGGAGGACAATGCAGTTTCCCCGAGCACAAGCTTGTGAAGGAGCCAGTCATCATAACACTTACTCGGGAGCCAGCCAATCAAATTAGAGCCCCCCTAAACACCTGACTCTGAGAACCAATCAATCAGTCTGAGCCACCACACTCTACAGAGGACATTGCCCCACTGAGCCTGACCACTCTTAAATTCAGAGATAATCAAGATCTCCCCTGTCCTAAGGACAGGTTAGGACAGCAGGGTTTCTCTTAATGCTCTTTTCATCTCAGCCTCTGGGTCACAGCTGTGCCCCTTCCCCCGACCCCTACCCCCACCCCACTTCGCCAGTTATAAAGGTAGGACTGAGACAGTTCTCAGGACCCGCCACAACATCTTTTTTGTTTGTTTGTTTGTTTGTTTGTTTTGTTTTTCAAGACAGGGTTTCTCTGTGTAGCCCTGGCTGTCCTGGAACTCACTCTGTAGACCAGGCTAGCCTCAAACTCAGAAATCCGCCTGCCTCTGCCTCCCAAGTGCTGGGATTAAAGGCGTGCACCACCACTGCCCAGCAAAGGACCACCATAACATCTTACCAGAAGACATTTACTGGACCCCAACTCATGAAACTATTGGTCCTTTGGATTCTGGCTGCTACCTGAGCTCTTACTACTGGGTGGTGTTTTGCTATTCTGGAATTTGCAAGCAAGGATGTCCATGTGTCAGGTCATCATGTCGAGCTGTTTGTTTCAAGTAACTAATGCTTCACCTGGCAGTCTGTAGTTAGGCCTTGGATTAGATCTTTGCTTAAGGTGTAGGCCATGTGTCAGAGGGCACACTGTCAAACACTGCTGTGCTGTGCAATTAACCTGCAGGCTCTACAGCTGCTTGGTTTTTGTTTTAAAGATTTATTTTACGTGTGTGTGTTCATGCGTGTGTGTGTGTGTGTGTGTGTGTGTGTGTGTGTAGCTACCTTCAGAGTGCAGGGTACCGGATCATATGGAGCTGGAATTATGAGCTGCCAGAAGTGAGTTCTGGAATTGAACTCAGGTCCTCTGCAGGACCAGCAAGCACTCTTAACCACGGAGTAATCTCTGTCTAGCTGTAGTCAGCTTGTTTAATTTTCAATATTGCTTCTCCCTTGGGTCTTTCTCTAGCATGTTCTTGAAGCATTATCAAACATTCTAAATGAACTGTCCTTTCTTCAGGATTTTTTTTTTATTCAGGAAAATATATGCATTCTGTAAACTCATCAGGTATAAAGCCAGATCTATAAATTTTCATTTCAAAGCCTATACCAAAGCCAAGGGAATGAGGGGGAATTTTCCTAAGCCTCAGAGAAAGGACAGGAATGTGTTGTAGAATGTAGACTTTCATTAGACTAGAAAACAAACAATAGTATCTGGATCTGTCACAGACTAAAGTGAAACCTCTTCAGAATTGGAAATATTTAAAAAGAGCAAGGGGAAGAAGAGAAGATTTATCTAATCCAGCTGTGGAAATGGAACCATAAAGATAGAATATGGCTTACATAAGGTGACTTCAGAACTTCCCTTGCACAGGATGACTGAAAAGTGGTGCAGAATTTCAAATAAAGACAGAAGATAAATATAACAGAAAATCCACACAGCATTTGTGTGGAATGGAAGCCCACAGCTGCTGGTGGAACAGATGGTGAGGCTGAAACTCAGACTTCTCTTTCTCTCCCTCTCCCTCTCCCTCCCCCCCCCCGGGGGGGTGTGTGTGTGTGTGTCTATCTGTCTGTCTTTGTTTGTCTCTCTCTGTCTGTGTCCCCCCCCCCTTTCTCCAGGGTCTTTTTATATACCCCTGGCTGTCTTGGAACTCACTATACTGGCCTCAACCTCACAGAGATCTTCCTGCCTCTGCCTCCAAGGTACTGGAATTAAAGGTATGCACCACCGTGCCTGGCTTCGTTTTTTCTTTAAATAAATGGACTCAAAAATAATAAGTAAGTGGACCTGTGAACCTATCAACTTAGAAAATATCCAACATGAGGCTAGACATTCCCAAATAGTCTTAAAAAGTAAAGACCAGAGATCTATACAAGATGTGGTTCTCTGGATACTCCTATAGAAGCCTCTGTACCCAGAAATATGGGAGCCTATATATACCAATAGATTATCTATTATTTCTCTCTCATCTTTTGATATGTTGTGTATCAATTATATGTTATCTATCACTGTTATTAATCATCCATCTTTATCATAATTTATTAGCAGAAGGCACATTAAAAGAATCAGTATCTCTTATTAGCTTGAAGTCACTATTCAAAATCTGCTCAATGAAGTTATTCCACAGGGAATGTAGTCACCTACCAAGTCCCCATCCTTCTGACTGGAGAGGGCATTTGACTGTACAGTGGCTGCCCTGCTTGTTTGCACCGAGTTAAAGCTGCCTTTAGCCCTCACACTATAAAGATCAACTCATTTGATATACAGTTTAAATTTTATCTGGGGTGGGCTGGAGAGATGGCTCAGAGGTTAAAAGTACAGCTGCTCAGCTGGGAGTGGCGGCTCATGCCTTTAATCTCAGCCCTTGGAGGCAAGTGGGTCTCTGAGTTCGAGGCCATCCTTGTCCACAAAGTGAGTTCCAGGACAGCCAGGGCTACATAGTGAGACCATGATGAAAACAAAACAAAACAAAACACTGCTTGACCAAAAGACCCAGATTTGATGCCAGCTCTCATGTGGCAGACCACAACTGTCTCTAACTCCAATTCCAGATGATCCAACACCCTCTTCTGGCCTTTGCAGGTACCAGGCACACACATGGTGCACATAAAAATACATGCAGGCAAAATACCTAAACACATAAAATAAAATAAAAATTATCTGAGAATATCGAGATGGCTCAACGGTAAAAGCATTCGCTGCTGACATTGATGACCTAAATTTGATCCCTGGAACTCACTGGTTGGAAACAGAGAATCAATTCCTGGCAGTTGCCCTCTGATTTACACACACACACACACACACAGAGTGTGAGCAAGAAGCCTTGGACAAAAGAAGGGGCTTCAGAGAGAAAGTGAAAGAGCCCAGAGTACCAGGGAAAGCATGCATGGCCTTCAACCAGTGTCTGAAAGAAAGGGAAATAAACAAGAAGAAAACAGGGAAGGTCACACCTGGCCAATTCAGTAAGGGGCTACACTGGAGAAGAGGGCTCAGCAAAGGAAAGTACGTTGTCTCATCAGGGAGCAACTTAACCCTTCCATCTCCATTTTGGCTGTATGAAATGCCAGGTCTCACCCCAGGCTAGAGATAGACCTTAGAACCACCTCCACCTTTTTTATATGGTCATTGAGATCCAAGGAAAAGGAAAGCTGGTATTCCCGTTTCTGTTACCAGGGAAAGTAGAGGTGGACTCCAAGCTTCAGTAGCCTAAGACTACTTAGAACTCAGTTCCTGGCTTCTTGGTGGATACAGCAGAGTTTCCAAAATTTAGTTCTATGAATTCTGGTCCTCAGAATTCTTTGGGGCCATCCTGTGCTATTAGAAATCATCAGGCAGTCCAAACATCATGCTTGGTGGAGGACCACTGTTGTAGATGGAGGAACATGTAACCTCTGACACCTGTATTCCGAAAACAAAACAGTGCCCTTTTCCTTTCCCTATCCACACCTAAGCATGAATGAGTGGAAACGCAGCATGCTGACACAGTCTTCACAAATAACCACCATTCTCAGGCTTGTTTTCACATCAAGCCAGAACAACATACTCCACACATTCATTTAGAACAGTTTGCTGCCCCTGAGCCCAGCAACAGGAATCAAAGACTGTGTCCTTGCCCTGATCTGACTTCAGTGCACACAGCAGACTCTCGGCAGCGGGTGGGGAGCTGGCTCCTTTTCGTGGAGCTTGAAAAGAACACTGAATCGCAGCTCAGATCTTTAGGAGTTAAGGAGGCAGCTCAGATCTTTAGGAGTTAAGGAGAGGCAGGCAAAGGAAGTGTGGGTGGCACAGGGTGGGAGAAAGTAGGACTTCCATTTAGAGATTGTCTGCTTCAAAGGGCTGCTGTAGGGAGCAAGAGAGCTCTGTCCTGACACTCAAAGGGAAGGCAGACAGGCCAAGTGGTCCTTAATGTTGCCCATGGCCCGATGGGACTGCAGTAAATAGACCCAGAAAGCATTGGTGCCACCCACATGCAGTCACCACGGCACAGCAAACAGTTGTATTTAATCTTATGGGAGTAGTGTTAGGCAGGACACCAAAGAATAAAGGACAGCAACCTAGAAATTATAGTTTGCAAAACAGCCTAGAACGCAACACAACCGGTATGCCTGCTATGTGGCACTCATCCTGTCAATCATTCTAATCTTACTTCCTCCAGACACCCTCACTACCAATGCAGAAAACTGCATGTTTTTCCCCGCCCTGGAGTACTGAGCCAGTGTCCCCAAGACACCAGCTTCTCCAGATGCTGTCCATCCACAGGGCTGTAGTACCAAAGTGGACCAGGTAGGACATGGATGGCAAACCCCTCATTTTTCAAGAAAGAAAACAATCCACCAGACATTCAGTGTGGGAGGGGCTCTGTAATTTCAGAGTTTAGAGCAAAGCAAATCTCTGGCTCTTACGCCCTCCCTTCCTCCCTTGCCTACCTCTCCTCAAACTGGAGAGTTTCACCTTCCACAAACATCAGGAGAGGTGTGCTGTGAAGAAAGTCTTTGAGATACAAGTGTAGTATTTTTTAACAATCCTTGTAGCACCCACCTCCACAGGTTCGGGTATGGGGGAGACGCTATTGGTCTTCCTGGAGCCCATGCGGAACTTCGCGGCCTTGTAAATCTTCCAGTATACAAAGAGCACCACACACAGTGGCAGGTAGAAGGCGCCCACAGTGGAGAACACGGTGTAGGAAGGCTCCCGACTGACCTGGCATTCCTCACTGAGCTCGGAGTAAGTCTCTCCCCAGCCAAAGAGCAGCGGAGCCAGAGAGATGACAGCGGAGAGTCCCCAGGTGAGCAGGATCATCACGTTGGAGACACGCTTGCGGGCACGGTGTGTGTACTCCAGGTGGCGCGTGATTGACCAGTAGCGGTCCAGGGCTATTGCTGTCACGTTCCAGATGCTGGCGGTACAGCAGAGCACGTCACATGCTATCCACAGCTGGCACAGACGCCGGCCCAGCTGCCAGCGGCGCCCAGACAGTTCATGCACCAGGCTCAGTGGCATAACCAGCACAGCCACTAGCACATCTGAGATGGCCATGGATGCTACCAGGTTGTGTGGTACTCGGTGGAAGGTGCGTACCCTGAGGATGGTGGCCAGAACCAGCAGGTTCCAAGTGAACGTGGCCGCAGCTAGAAAGCCCAGCAAGGTCAGGACTAGCACTCGGAAAGCTGAGGGAAAAGGCCGACTAGGGCGCAGGACTTCCGTGTCCAAGCTGCGGTTAGGTTCCAAAGAGGAGGGAGTAGAGAGAGAAAAGGAGGTCAAGTTTACAGGCAGATCCATTGCTGGCCTGGGACGCCTGCGTTTAGACTCTATGTAGCCACCGAGCCCACTGAAGTCAATCTAGATGTTTGTGACCGCTGGTCAGTGGAAAGGATTCTGCCAAGAGCCAAAAACCTGGCTTCAGTCTCCACCCAGTGAGAGTTCAGAGGAAATTGTGGCAGAGAGGAGGGTGTTGGGCTATAAGCCACACAGCCCAGGTATTCTTAGAGATCTGGAAAGCTGACTCAAGGGGCCGAGTCTAGAAGCCAGGGCCGGCCTTTGCTATCACATGCCTGCTGTTTCTCACCTTGGCGGAGACTGCTGTCTGGTTGCCTGCAGCAGAGCATCCTTGGGGTCGGCCCCCGCCCACTGCAGGGTGGATGCCTAGAACCCACCTAGTGCATCAGAACAGTCGCTGGTCCAGGGCTGCTCCTTGCCCACCTCCCCCTTCTTTCGGCTGTGGCTCCGAGGGGTGGGGGTGGGGGACTGGAAGCCACGTAGATACCTGCTTTCTGGAGACTGCCTTCTGCCCTGCCCTGATCTCTCTCTCCACCGTGCCTGAGGCTGCTGCTCCGAGAGTGCACGCTGGCGCGCCCATCCAGACCTGCCTTAGCAAAGTGGGACTCCCGCACTACGTAAGACATCAGCTGATGAAGCCGCCTCTCCCCACCCCGGCTCTCAGCATGTGGCTTCGGCATTCAGTTTTCTCTCTGCGTGCAGCGCAGTGCTTGGCGCTGTCCTCGGTGCTGCCGCCTATACCAGCACGGAGCTTGGTAGCTATCCACGATCCAGTCGCTCTTTACCTCTGGGTCAGTGACCAGGAATTAATTAGCTAGTAAACTTTCCTAAACCTTTCTTCCAGCTCTCACACTCCCTCTGAAGGTGATTTTGAGACCTCAAGCCACATCTTGATTTCCAGAATGTGCTTTGCTTGAAGTACAAGTGTCCTGGGTTAGGCTAACTAACTAACCAACCAACTAACCTACTGTTGTTCCTGTCCAGGTTTCCGTATGCGGTTGCCTCCTAACGCGGTGAGCTTGGTGGCCTCCCTTAAAGAGTTGTTTGCTTTAAAGGAGAAAGTTGATGGCTGTTGGAGCTAGGGGGCCTGTTTCCTGACAGTTAGAAAGAGGCTTGCAGAAGCCTCTCTAGTAACTCTACAGAAGTTTCTACAGAAGAGAAGCTGGAGGGGATGGCTCAGCTCTTAAGATAACTGGCTGCCCTTGCTGAGAACCCACTTTGCTTCCCAGGACTCACTCAATAATGGCCCACAACTGGCTGTAACTCCATTTTCCAGGGTACATGACACCTCTTTCTGACTTCTACAGGCACCATGTACATGTGTGGTGCACATATACAAGCAGGTAAACATACACACACAACAAAAACAAACCCTTAAGAAAAAAAGAGAAAATCTCCATGGCACTTGAAAAGCAGGGATATTGGGCCAGGCATGACGGTTCAGCCCTTAATCCTAGCACTTGAGCTGGAGGCTGGTGGAGCTCTGTGAGTTCAAGGCCAGCCAGGGCTACATAATGAGATTCTGACTCAAAAAATGAGAACATTCAAGATAAAACTCAGAAGAAAACAATATTCATCTCTCCTACAGTTGTTCAACTTTATATATTGTTTTAAATAAACACAAAACTCAAAAAAATAAAATGAAATAAAATGCAAAAAAAAAATTTTAAACCCACAAGGACATTGACTCCTTACCCCAATACACATATAAACAAGATGATGTATTCTCTCTCTCTCTCTCTCTCTCTCTCTCTCTCTCTCTCTCTTTCTCTTTCTCAAATGCACACACACATGCACATACACACACTCACACACACACATAAACACATGCACACACATGCACATACACGCACGCACATGTGCACATGCGTGCACACACACACACACACACACACACACACACACAGGCACACACAATTAGCCATTGACCCTTAGTAGCCTCAGCACCTTTCAATGGATTTTCTTGGGTCAAATTTTTCTGCAACAAGTACTAAGGTAATCTTTGCTTTTTACAATGTTAATAGCCATGTTGGTGGTACAAATGCAGGAGACTTGCTTATGTTAATAAGCAAAATGAAGGACCATGCTTATGTTAAGGAATGCTATTCACATACTATGTATGTATGTATGTGTGAGCTAGAACTGGAAGTATTTTTTTAATAAATGACAATGTTTTCCTTGAAAGAATTATGGATAGATAAACTACCATTCTTCACACTTGCATATAGAGCAGATACTTTTCTTTCAAACGAATGAGGTAAAGCTTTAAAGAAAATAATTGCCAATATTTTAGAACATTCAAACCCACCTTCGGAAATCCGGCAGCTTACAAGTACTTAGAGACCTGTGAGCTGAGGTTGATGGTAAAGTTAATGAATGCAATTCTTTTTTAATAAAAGATTTATTTGATTATTTTAAATTATGTATATGTGGGGCTGGAGAGATGGCCCAGTGGTTAAGAGCACTGTCTGTTCTTCCAGAGGACTCAGGTTCAATTTCCAGCACCCATCTGGCAGCTCACAACTGTCTGCAACTCCAGTTCCAGTAACTCCAGTTCCAGAAGCTCTGATACCCTCACACAGACAGACATGCAGGCAAAATACCAATGCACATGAAATAATTTTTTATAGATTATATACATGTGGCAGGGGTCACATCTGTATAAAGGCATCAGATCCCCTGGGTCCGAGGTTACAGTGGCCTGTGAGATGCCTCATGTAGATGCTGGAAACCAAATTCAGGTCCTTTGGAAGAACAATACATGCTCTTAACCATTTAACCTTCACCCCAGTCCCATGGTACTGCATATAAATGTGTCACCATCTGGAAAGTCTGAACAATTCAATAACCAAAATGACTATGGCATGGTATGACAAATTCCTGAATGGGATTTGGTCCAGTTCAAAAAGTAAAGTACACAATAAGGTTTTTTAGTGTGTGTGTGTGTGTGTGTGAGTGTGTGCGCATGCACACACACACATGCTCACTCATGTGCGCATGTGTGTGCAAGTGCTGCAGCATAGATGTCTAAGTCAGAGGACAGCTTTGGGGAATCATTTCTCTTCTTTCACCTGTGGGTTCTGGGGCCAGACTCAGACCATCAGTCCACAGTCAGGACCTCTTCCTGCTGAGTCTTCTTCTCCCTGGTGCGATGATGGTTTTTGACCTAACAGTATGAAAGGGTACATAGTAAGACTTCAGATTCCACTATGCACAAGTGGTTCAGAGATTAACCCTTACTGAGTTTTGACAGAGCATCACAGAAAATGTCCACGGTTATCTGACAAGCCTATCCAAGTCTCCTCCAGTTCTCAGCTGTTCGTGGGTGCATCAGCTTTCCCAGCTGAAAAGCAGGCAGCATCTCACACCAGACGGGTGAACTCACACCAGATGGGTGAAGGGACAGACACAAGATTTCAGATGTCTTGAAGAAATCCACAAAAATGTTAGACAATGTGATTTCAAGTTCTGGAAAGTATTTTTTTACAAAGACATATCACTTATGTAAATATGTTTTATTTTTTAAATTAATAGGCAAATATGTTCTGAATTTCCCCACTTAAGTGCTAGTGCATATCTGTAGACCCAGTATTCAGGAGGCAGAGGCAGGGGGATCAGGAGTTCAAGGTCTGTTGCCAGATAATCTACTGGGCTGTTTGGGCTTTCCAGAGTTAAGTGCACAACGTATCAGCAGCCTTGCCTTGAGGATGCTTTGTAGGCAGGGGGTGCGGGTGGGTATTCCGGGCAGGGGGCAATGCTCCTTGATGGGTAGAACACCCTGTAAGCTACAGTACGTTTAGGGCTTATGAATGAGCTTCCAGATCCCCTTTTCTGCCTTGTCTGGTATCTCCTAGAGGATAGGTGTGGTGGTTAGCATGAATGGTCAAATCACTTACGAGGCAAGCCTCTAGGCACACCTGTAAAGGACTATCTACACTGAGGTCAGATGCTGAGAATGTTGGTGAAGGATTACCCTGACTGTGCTAATGGTGTGGAAAGATGCCTTGATTGTGGGTGAGATGACTTCCTGGGTAGGGACACTGGACTGTATGAAGGGCCAGAACAGCCCAAGGTAAGCACTGGCATGCATTCGCTGGCTCTCTCCTTCAAAGCTGAGGATGAGACGTGACAGGCTGCCTCAAGCTCCTGCTGCTCGGACCTCCCTGTTCATTGAGCTGTGGAGCAGAATAAACTTCCCTAAGTTGCTTTTTCCAGAGTGTTTTGTCACAGCAACAGAAACATAATGAAGATACAGAACTTTAGCTGGTGAGGATTCACAGACTCTCCACCCCCCCCATCCCCTCCCCACACTAGCAAACTGTATGGTACCCTAGTGGGTGGCCTGCCCCCTTTGCCTGAATGTGGGATAGCTCTGACAGGCCATTCTTGCTGGGAGGTATCTGCTGGATTAGCTGAGTCCCAGTTACAAACACATGGTGACCAGCCTGCCACCTGCGATCCAGCTCTCCCGAAATCCTCGTGGTTTCCCTGCAGAACCCACTCATAATTCTCCCCCCAACCCCCAGAGAATACAATCTAAGGCATCAAGTGAAGCTCCTCTATGGAGAAGCTGTTATTAAAAGGTGGATCCTGGATTGGGTTATAGCTTTCATATGTGAGACCCTGCATTCATTGTTCAGTATCGCAAGGACAAAAACAGGTTGCTGAGATGTCTCAGTGGATAAAGACACTTGCCACCAAGCCTAATGGGCCTGAGTTTAATCCCCTGGGTCACATTAGAGGACTAACTTCTGCTAGTTGTCCTCTGATCTACACACATACGCATACTCCACGGCATGTACTGTGCTCCCCAAACAAAATAAAAATAAATGTTACGATACAAAATTAAGATAGGGACTGAAATCCCGCTAACATTCACCATTGTGTGGTGAATGCACACACTAAGCTGGGAATACATGTAAAACCCAGGTGGTAGTTAGCTTTCTGAAGAGCAGCCCCCATATGGGTTACTGTCCATTGGACAAAGTCACTCCAATAGAATTCGGGTGAAAAGACTGCTCCATAGACATGTTAGAGGTACAGGGCAATTCTCATTGGTTTGGGGGATTTTCTGGAGTGTGAGGGAACAAACATGAATCCTCAAACTGTTGAGACATTTGTAATAATAATTATTTTAGAAGGAGG